GACACACAACTGAAGAACTACTGAGATTAAAGGCTTCCACTGGCACAAAGGCATAAATAGCACCAAGCTCGACGAACAAAGCTAACAGAAACAATTCAGTATTGCAAACAGGGTGGACTTTGTCTTTCACATCAAGTGCCTGAACTCGATTTTAAAGTTTGTACTTAGAATGTATAACATGCTGGATGGCTGCGCTAATTAGACCTGCATATTTGGAATGTCAGGAGAGTCCTTTTAGGTATTCATTAACCACATCTTTTCCTCCCGCTTCAAGTTGCTTTATATTCGATATACGGATTCCTGCTTCCTCTCTAATTCAAAGTAAAATGTTGCTTTAAAATTCAGTGAAGAACTGTGGTTTCTGTATGACACTGAACCAGGGCTTGAGCTTTTTTAGTTTCAAGATGACCTTCACTGTCTCCTCCCAAACCAGACGAAGTTTCTTTAGTATCTTTAGCTATCTAATCATCACCTTCTAGACTTAATAATATTACAATGTATGTTACTATTTTCAATATTTAGCTCTTTATCATCAGTGGAATTCCATGCTGTGGTATTTTAAAGCATGTGATTCACTCCTGAATCAGGTTACAGTGCATCTGATTTCAGAATAGCACAATGGGTTTTTTTTGTGACCTGTAAAAGCCATAAATCAAACATTTTGTATAACAAAGCAGTATTTTACTCACAAACAAGAATACAAATAATTCTGGCTAACATAATAGCAAGGTTAACTGAATTGTATCAGTTAAACAGACCATCTTGCCTACATTCACCTCCTTAACTTTATTCTTTTTAGAAACCTTACTATATTTTTCCCAACAACTCAGTTGAAATTCTCTTTAGTAATCCCAAGCTACATGGATTTCACCCTATTTGACCGATTGTATGTTGCAGCCTATTAGTTTTCCATCACTAAGATTTGTGCAGGTTTACAGAAGAACCTTTGCAGAAGACACAAATGCTGAATGGATACAAATGATCTCCAATAGACCATGGTAGGTATTTGAACTTACCTGTTACGGTTCAGTGATGAGATGGTCTGCCCTAGGCTGAAACTGTGCATAAAAGTAAAATTTGAAGCCTGTCTAACTAGTATCCCGTTTTAAACTCCAAATTTCTCTCTGAAGGGTTAACCAATCTTTAGAAGGTAGATTTATTAGTAAGCAACAACTAGTAAAATTTAACTCTTTTAAGAAGTTATGTATACCCTAATCTAAAATGAGAAGTGCTTATGTCCTGCTCGTTTGCAGATTCTCTGTTATTAAACAAGTAGAAAGGCATTTTTCTCTACTAACTAAATGATAAAATGTTCTAGGACGGATTTAAATACTTTAAAGCGTCATTGTGCTGGTTTAGTATCGCTCAATAGCACAAAGAATATCCCTACTCAAATAAGCCTATCAGCAAGGTAGATTTTCAACCCCTGCAGTAGAGAGAGAAATCCTCCCTAGAAGGCTATCATATTGCCTAAGCCAAACATTTGCCCTTCTATCAAGGTTACCTGCTAAAAAATTGTCCAACAATTTCCAAATATCTGGAAAACTTCAGTAAGAACCATATGCAAATTTTTGAGAACAATTTTGTGGCATTTGTAAAAAACACTTTTGGGCTTGGGTAAAAACCAAGTTTGATTACTTGTTCTCCTTGCCTGTCGCTCAACTTCCGTGTCTCATAAATGGGTGTGACAAACACCAGAGCTGACAAAGGCAACCAGCACCTCACTCTGGACACATAAACAGGTTTCAAAGTGCCACACTATTCCCCCTTTTTACCTCCTTAATCTCTTTGAAAGAGATTAAAGAGAGGACCAGTCCTTCAGTGTAAGGGAAAATCAAGCCAGTGCTGAAAAGCCCAGCTGAACCCATGACTTAAAGTTCAGAGAAGGTGACTAGAGTCCAAAAAAT